CATTTAAGGGAGAAAAAGGGGGAAAAAAAAAAAAAAAAAAAAAAAAGAAGGCGGAGGGAAAAAAAACCCACAAAGCTTGGGGAGGGGATGAAGTAGCAAGGCCTCAGCAATTCTTTCAATTCCAGTGCACACCCAATAGTGTGTCGGGAAGAATGCGCACTGGTCGGGATTTGTGGGAGAATTGTCCCGCCACAAAGGAGGGAGAGTTACGCTTGTTATAGTCCAATAAGCCATGCCAGTCAAACAAGTACCCACACTCGGGACAAAAGGAAAGCAAGAGATTCTCACACAAAAGAAAACAAGTAAGCCCATCTTTTAGTTGTGCATCAGCCTCCAGGTTTTCTGCTGCACATAAATAAAAATGAAGCGTGCGTGGGGGGGTGAGGTACGGGGAAGGGGCGGAAATAAACGGCTTCTGGGAGGCTGAAAAATCACGCTGGAGTGAATTTTGGGAGGACCGGGAAAAGGCGGCAGCGGCGTTAAGCAGAGCGCGCGCTTTGTGCGCAGCGGTCGGGCAGAGCGAGAGGGAAGCGAAAAGACCACGAGGCAGAAGTTGTTGGGGCTGGCTTGCTCTCCGTGACGGGAATCGAAGTTAGCGAGAGGGACGGTGGCAGGGGACGAGGGGACAAAGAGCCCCTGCATCCCACCGCCCCGCAAAACCTACTTGGTGGCATCGAGGGCCCTGCCATTTTGCAAGCATGAATATTCATTATGGACAAGTTACGTCCAACACTTACACGGCTGTAAACCCTGAGAGGTGTCCTCCAGTTAATTTAATTAAGCGTTGGCAGAAGGGGACGGCGTCCCTTCCATCGTGAGGCCGAAGGGGCAGCGCCGCGGAACGGACGGGGCTCGTCACGTACCCCACGTATTCGCTCGGTCGTGCGCTCGTGCCCGATCTCAGTGGTTTGATCAAGGTTAGATGCTGAGATTAAAATAGATCCTAATACGTCCGCCTGCCTTTCACCACCGCTTGCACGCGTGCTAGTTGCTCGGCTAGCGCTTTCCAAAAATATAGAAGTGAATAATTAAGCATTATTCCTTTACTGGCATGCTACAGCAATAACGGCGTATCTAAACAAACGTCCCCCTTTCTTGACAATTAAAACAATTATAGCATAATTAGGCCTATTTCAAAGTTTTCTTAAGTAATTTGACATGCCAACCATTTACATTTCAGGTTTTTATTGGCTGAAAAGTCAGTCGTGAAACACAAACACACCTGTCAGCAATTAAAAAGGAAGAAATAGAGAACTGTTCAGGAAATAATATCTGTGCTAATTAAAAACACTAGTTAAAAGCTTCCTGTTTGTTCCTCCAGTTGCCCCAAGGAGTGACCTTCCCCCCCAACCCATTTTTTCATATGTCGCTAACATGGTTCCCCCATCTCCTGCTTACAACGCTTGTAACTAAGGCTCGTGGACAGAGACAGTCATTTTGCTCATTAGGATAGTTAGAGAAGAGTCAGATACTTACGCTTCTGTTTTTGATAATATGACATCAATATCGGTTCTTTGTTGACTGTGGGAGAAATAAACTTTGGTTTTCCTTATAAATGCAAGGTGTTCCACGTATGCTTTTTATACAGCACATCTTACACACATTTAAATGGATGCACTTCCCAGTTACTTTAGCCAAGCAACAACATTATACGCTATTTGCAGCCTTCCTCATAACTCAGAGTCATTCACCTCTACGCCTGTGTGAACTTGGCCCAACAGCTTCAGTCAAAAGCTACTGTGTTGTTGGTACTCACCCATCTTATTTCTTCAACATTTTCAACCTTTGGCAGCATAATGCTTGAGGGCAGGGTCTTGGACTGCAAAAGCACCTCTAGATCTTCTTCTGCAAGACCGCTGGACACAGAGTTTATCCTAACACACTTTTCGGCATGGCCAAAGTCAAACTCTTCAAGGGTTTTCACAACGGTCAGTCTTGCTTCTCTCTATAATGTATATGAGTTCAGAGGCACAAGAAAAGAAAATAAAAAAAGCATATTGTCTGTTGACATAAAAATGCACTGAGCAGAAAACTTGTTGAAACAACGTAGGGAAAAAGCTAGACCGCCGGTATATTGGTGCCCCCAAAATGTCTGTCACTCTTGGACTTTTATTGAAGCAGTCATCACCAGCACCTCGCAATTTTACCTTCCTCGTTTCTTTATAACTGGTAAATAAAATGTTCGGGTTTTACGTCTAGGCATTTCTACACCACCCCTTGTAGAAAACAAGACTTTTGTGTCCACTAGTGCTGAACATGTCTAATGAACACAAATCTTTATACTAACCACAATGTGTTGCACTAACCATCCGCAATCAAAAACGGCATGTTATTGAATTTCCATAAAACAATTAAGTTTTGTAATTCACCTCTATATTGCCTGGACGTCAGTAAGCACAGATGTATCTATACACTTATTTGGTTTTGCTATATAAATCTTCCTTTTCTCCATGTATCCAAAGTCTACATGGTGGTAGAGTTCACAACTCGTGTGTGAAAACAACGCCAAAATAACTTGGAGATCTTTCTTGAACTGCATAAAAAGCTCTTCTCCTGCTGGCACAAAACAAAGTCTCCTAAGACACGTCTTTCCTGTGGCTGTTCGCTATTTTTATGGATGTAAGTTTACAAATCTGTTTAATAGCTGATTTTCATGAAGACGACTTGCTTTTCTGAAATGAAACGGCCTGGAGAAGAAGCTGGGGGGGAAGGAGGGTGCTGGGCTCCCTGCTTCCTGCCAACTGCAGTTTCAACCCCAAATTCCTTCTACTCGCCAACAGCCCCTAACAAATTCGCATTGTCAAAATGCACACTTATCAAAAGTCATTTCATTTGTGAAGAGTTTTTATGGGGCTAATAAAACTTTAAAGCTCCTGACTGACGGAGGTTCGGGAATGACTTTAACAATACGCAGTCGCTGAATAGAGATGCTTTTCAAGAAAACAGGCAAACTCAAGGGGAAAAACTTAAAAAAAAAAAAAAATCACCAAAGTTAATATCCAGGCTAATACCAATCAGCGAGACAGCACATGACAGTAGATTTAAACCAGACGGATGCAAATCTCTGCCGGCGAGAGGGGCAGAGGTGGTTTCCCAATGTGGTCTGAGTTAAACAGTGTGAGGGAACAGTAGCTTACAGTTGTCAGGTCCCATCAGAACAGGGTCTCCCAGGCCCGTTTAAGACAGCTCTTGCAGTGTACTGATTTACAGGGCTGGGACCCCCGATAATTAGGGTAAGTTTAGAGAAAAGCAAGTGATGGCTCTAACTGGTTAAAGGGAAGGAATAATGAAGCAGAAAGTTGATGAAATCTGAAGCAAACAGCCTTCAGCGTGGGGCTACTAGCCGCGCTCCTCCGAAGGTTGGGAGCATATGCCCGTTAATCGGCCAGACGGGAGCAGGGCGCGCACGTACGCATCCCTGTGCTGCCATCACGGGGCACGTTCGGAGGTAATTTCTGGAAAATACAACCCGAAACATTCAAACTGCTGTGAATGGACTCTGACCGGGGCCATTAGGAAAGCCACACAAAGATGCATGCAGCTCACTACAAACACGTCCAGCTGGAAGACCGCTCCGACGCACAGCCGTCTGCAACAGTCCTTCCGAATTAGGTAAACCAAACCATATGATGCCATTACCGGGTAATACAAATCCCCTGCGTCCTCCTTCGCCGACCAAGGGTAACGCGTTTCGAGGGCTGGGCCGAAAGTTTCTGGATATGATGCAGAAGGGTAGCTTAAAAACACGCTCCAAACCGATTTATGCTTTTAATTAAAGTCAGATTATCACCGTTTCAGCACACACTGATCCAATTTGCAAAAGAAAGATCTCCCCAAATTATCCACTAAGGCAGCATCCAATTCCAACTGAAGGCACATCTCTAGCAAATTTACAGCCTGATTTGTTATGATTTTTTTTCGTATTATAATAATGAGCGGTAGATTGTCTCATTAGCTATTTTTCTCCTCAGGCTGCAAACTCCCTTCCCAAAAAAGACAGATCATGTCTTTCTAGGTATATTTCCATGCAAAACACTTATTAACAGGCTGTTGCTGTTATCAATTTACATAAACTAAATGTGCAGCCCTCTGGTACGTATCCCAAAAATAACCAACAACTTCACTGAATTTATACCAAACCAACAAACGTGGGGAGGGGGTTGTTGTTTTTTTTCCATATTTTAATAGAAAATATGTTGCTATGCTAGTTAACACACCCATGCCATCTGTTGGGTTGAGAATTGATGCGTTTTCTTAGAATCACTACGTTTTAAATCTGTCTACCTAGACACCCCAGGAATGGAAACGTTTCCCTTCCGTGATAAAATACTTCTAGTCACTATGGTTTCCACATCAGGATTCAATTTATATTTTTAATTGTGGGACAAACGGAGAGGACCTGATTGCCAAAGTCGGAGCTCATGAGGGGTCTGACTTGGTGCCTACCCTTCCTACAATGGAGAAAATCCTACTGCCAGGCTTCCAATAAAACGTTTCATGGGTAAATAAAAAAATTTACTAAAACCTCTGACTAAACGTACTCTAAACGTGGAGGAGAGGGAGAGCCCTTTCAGCAGCGAAATGTAGATGTTATTCTTCTTGTAGGATCCGTGCGAAAAGCTAAAATTTAAAACAAGGTAAACTACTTCAACATTGTAATAGTGGAGAAAAAAGTAGTCCACGATAGAATAAGGTCTTCATAGCGGTAGATGCAAGAATAAACACATTTTCCAAACTGCGTGTAAAGTCCCTGCCAAGAATGGTCAAGCTAGAATTTTTATGGAACGGTGAAAGAAATTATTTACTCTGTTCTTCACACGAGAACTACAACATCGCATAATACTCTGTCATGAATGAATAGCTGATAAAGAAATAAACCTGATCGTTAAGTAAACGATTCCTTCCCCAGATAGCTTGGGATGGTGGTACCCCCACTGGGTCTCACGTGGGTTGGGCTCTTTATCAAACTGAACAAGAGAGAAAGGCAACAGTGATATTAAAATACGCTAAATTTGCAACCTGTGCTGGAAAATCCACTGGGAGAAAAAACATTGGTCAGGGTGGCTACTTAGCACCCCTTCTGTACGACTCTGAGGAGGACACGGTAGGATGTTCATTACGATGCGCAGCTACGCCAACTGGAGAAGATAAAGGTTTCAGTGACGCAGCGTCGCCGACAAATCCACCACTACCCAGACACACAGACACTGAAACGGAAGTCGGCGAATACGCGCGTTGCCGGCTCGGTTGGCACCCATTAAACCTAATAACTAACCATCCTCCGGAGTTCCTCGCTCGGAATTATCAAATCTGCAAAGAAAACAACATCCGTCCACTTTTACACTCCAGTGGAAGAGGTGGTCCCTCGCGGCGGGGCTGCGCAGTCTCGCCATCTGGAGAATAAATCGAGTGTGAAGTACAGTATAGTTTGGGACCAGGCTCCGTGGCGGCAGCCCAGCAGTTAGTTCATTAGTCCCAAACTTGCGGGGATTAGTGCGGTATCAGCTCTACTGTCGGAAGGGATCAGGCAGGCGGAGTGCGAGACGCGGGGAAGGGGGTGACGGCGAAGAAGGAGCCCCTCAGGCTTGTTTATGAAAGCGCACCTAAATAGGTGCCTTTGGGAACAGTATTATCATAGTCTCCTAACAGCTGAATCAGTACCTTTCCTTCCTTTTTCCCCCCTTTTTTCTTTAAGTTATGTGCCAAGACATAGCAATTTCCACTTGGAAACAGGAATGACACAGAGCTGCAAGCTCAGCCACCCGCTCACCCTGGACACAGTGTTAATACAGCAATAACGAAGCAAAGATCGTCAGATTAACAGAATTCTGTGGACTGCAACGGCAGACAGAAAAATGACATTTTCTTCTTTCTTTTCAACTGGTACCATACTCCACAAACCAGTTTTCCAGCACTGTGATTTCCAGACCTGCCTGATTTTGGGAACAAAATCTCTGTTTTGCTTTATTTTTCTTGCCTAGTCTTACCCCCTTTATTTTTCTCAAGACCTTCAGGTCTTAATCATAGATTCTTTGGGTTGGAAGGGACCTTTAAAGGGTATCCTTTATGTATAGATCTCATCCTGTTAACACCTTTTGGTAATAATTCTTCATGTGGAAATATAAATATATGATGCACTAAAATGGCAGGCCAGAACCTATCATCCTCATCGCCATAATAAGTTTGCATGTTTCAAACGGCAGAGGAAAAATTAATTACTATAATCACAATTCAAGTTATTTTTTGTGACAGGTCTGACATGGTAAAAACATACAATTACATGGTAATGTTACTTCCCTGGAGTGGTTTGTTTACAGGACTTGGTGTTGCTGAATTTTTTTGTCACTTGTATTAGTGCATACCCTGTGAGTGTGTCTCTCAACTAAGATTCTGCAGAAAAGCACATATATACCCACAGCATTATTTGGGGAAAAATGAAATTTCTGCACAGGGAAAGCCTGACATTTTTTACACGCTTAATTCTCCATCAGTGAAGTGATGCCGTACAGAATGATGCTTCATTTAGTTTCAAATTCACAGATGAGATTGGCGAGAGAAAAGACAAATTACATTTGGTTTTAAGGAAACAAAGAGAACCGTAACGGCAGAGCACAGTGTTTCTGAGAACCGGAGGCGCTTGCTTCACGAGACCTGCCTTCTACTTTGCATGCATCAGGTGCTTGTGAGAGTAAATCTCTGAAATGGCAAATTCTTATTTCGTTAGTCTTGTTAGACTGAAAAACTGCTGTAAAATATGCATACCTCGCAAAGCCTTCAGGAAGCTGTTATTAAATAATTTCTTAGAGTTACCTTCGAGCAGATCATCAGTTGAGGAGTTTTGAAAGACTTAGGAAGTTTTAAAACACGTTTTCTTTTCGTTCAACAGGGAGCAGGCCAAACCCCCCATGTAATCCCAAAGGAACGAAGGGGCAGGAGCGGGGAGGA